CTTCCTGCATTGCTTCCTGTCAGCACTTATGTTTGGCAGCCTGTGTATAACAAGAAGGAATAACAATGGATGCAATGGTGGCAGCAAGGGCAAGAGAAGAGGATGAGAAGCCATACCGATTCGGTGGTATTAAACGTCGTGTAGAACGACGAAGAGGAATCTCCACATTACTCATATTCTCAAGAGAAAGATCTGGCATATGATCTGATGGCAGCGGAGGAGTTGATAAAGACGCAGGTGGACGACGTCTTTCATACATTTTTCCTTTGAATCGGGTGCTGAGAGGAGGAGGACTGGAAACGCTTTCAAATTCAGGTAATATGACAAATGATGGATTATTGGGAACACAACTATGATAGAAATACTGATTTTCAAAGAATATAACATTTCTAGAGACTCGTAATATGTTTGCTATTGGATCAAAACATGCGAATCCCTTTTGACTGACATTGTATCCTAGAAATACACATTGGGCAGATTGGGCAGAGAGTTTATGGCGTTCTGAGGGTGGAAGATGAACAAAACACACACAACCAAAAGGATGAAGATTAATGTATGTTGGATGACATTTATGTAGCCGGAAATAAGGTGATTCATACCCCAAGACCTATGATGGGAGTCTGTTTATTAGGTAAACTGTTGTAGACAAAGCTTCAACCCAAAAACGAGTAGGAACTTTGGATTCTAAAAGTAAGGTCCGGACAATATCAAGAAGATGACGATTTTTGCATTCCGCGACACCATTTTGTTGAGGAGTATAAGGACATGTTCTTTGAGATATAATTCCTTTAGATTAAAGAAATGCTTGAAATTCATGAGATATATACTCCCCACCAGAATCAGTACGAAGAACTTTGATGCCCGTTGAAAATTGATTTTCTACAAAGGCAAGAAAATTTTGAAATGTTTTGAAAACATCATCCTTTGATCGTAGAAAATATACCAAAGTATAGCGACTATAATCATCAATAAAGGTAACGAAGTATTTGTTATGGGAATGAGACACAACACGAGAGATTCCCCAAACATCACTATGAATGATCTCAAAACAATGGGAAGCACGACTACCATTAGATGGAAAAGGAAGAACTTTGCTTTTGCCTAGTTTGCAGGATTCACTATCAAAATCAGAAGAAATTTTCTCTTTATTATTATCTAAAAGACCAAGCTGTAACAAATGAGAAAGAACTTGAGGATTCGGGTGGCCAAGTCTCCTATGCCACACCGATCCCAGTTTTTATTACATGCAAAAGCAGAAACTGAATCATATTTAGGAAAATGTAATGGAAAGAGACGTCCAATCCTAGGCCCCTTTGCTATCAACTCCCCTGACACCTGATCCTGCACATGACATCCATTGGAAGAGAATTTCACATCACATTTATCATCAATAAGTTGACCAACAGAAACAAGACTTGTAGATAATTGAGGACAAACAAATACATCTTTAACCTGAGGAGAAATATCACCGATGGCAGTAATAAGCAGCTTATTACCGCTGGCAGTTTCAATAGATGAAGAACCATCATATTAGCGAATATTAGTGAGTCCATGTATCGAAGAAGTTACGTGATTTGAGGCTCCAGAATCTAGAAACCAATTAGAATAGGGTAAAGAATTACCTTGAATCCCCAATGCAAAGGCAGAAGCAGGGGCTGGATCATTTGAAACATTTGGAGAAGTGGCCAAATCTTCTGTGGTAACCTGATACGCAGTATTTTTTTGACAAGGTGGGCGAATGAAGCAATCTTTGATGATGTGGCCGGGCTTCTTGCAGTAGCTACAAACCTTATTAGGACAGTTTTGTGCGATGTGACTGTAATTCTTACCGGAATAACACTGTGTGGTACTCATGTTTCTAGAATGAGGCTTAGCTTGAGTGGAATAAGCAATTGGAGACTGGCCCTGCTCCAAGGTAGCCTGGGTATGCAGACAGTGCTCTTCACGCAGAAGTTCCCGAAAGAAAACCTCCAGGTTCCCAGTTTTCTGCCCAATAGTGAGGAGCGAATGTGTTCAAACTCAGGACGCAATTTCATAAAGAATTGATTGCGGTGACGGGTTTGTAACATATCCCGAAGAGACTCCACAGCAGTATTTGGCACTTCAGCAAGGGATAGGTCGATGTATTCAGACCAAAGTGTAAGAAAGTTGGAATAGTATTGTTGAACAGTGAGGGAGCCTTGTTGGAATTTCGAAATATCCGACTCCAACTGAAATTGATGAGCAGAGTTATCCTGATGATAAACTTATCGTAGATAAGCCCACATGGCTCGAGCTGTGCGATGAGGACGCAAGTTGAGGACAATTTGAGGATCCAGTGACCCTAATATCCAACTACGAATTTGGGCAACTTTCACAACCCAAGTAACATCCTCAGAAGCGGAGGTTTCTGTCGAAGAGTCATCCACATGCGCCCACAAATCCTTTCCTTTCAGGAACGTTTCAACTTGGAATGCCCAAGTAACATAATTCTTGCCATCAAATCGAGCACACAAGGTTTCCAATTTATCCATGATGACTAGAAAGTAATAAAAAAACACCAGAATGTTTACTTCCCAGAAGATAAGCACTGGTTTTGCGGCTAAAAACGCACAGATCTTAGAAGGAAATGAATAGATTTGAGACAAAAAAAAAATGGCTACAACTGAGGTGACAAAAATCTGAGAGAAAACCCTAGGGAAATTTAGGGTTTTGACTAGGAACTCGAAGAACAGGGCTTAAGGCTCTGATACCATGTCACAAATATTACCAAAAGATAATAAAACTGGGAAGAACTAAGAATTAGAATTGCTGAAAGAACTGAGATGCCTTCCTCAGCTGTATATTCACACTTATATAGGCAAGAAATAAATACATTTACAAGGAAACAAATCAGGATATCCTTGCAGTTAATGCAAGATATCCTGCACTTAATACCTAATAATAACTTCCCAAAACTACATACTTTCAAATAAAGTAATAATACTCATTTAACAGATTTTTTGATTAACTTCAAATAAAGTAATAATAATAATTTAACAGATTGGTTGACAAAATATAGATAAAAATGCAATTTCTATGTTCCGACTAGTCCCCGACTGGGCACCCGCCTAGCCGCCTAGGCGCTAGGCGCTGGACTAGCGCCTGGCGCCTTTTAGAACATTGCGGAATATTACACCCTTTGTCCATGTTTTTTTTTTCAAATTTCCTTATTTAGCCGACCCAAAAAAAATCTTACTACAAATTAAATCTCAACCAAATGGTTTTATTTAATTTTTCCATATGCTAGTCAAAGTTAGTCATGTTTTGTGGGACGGAGAAAGTATATTATAATTGTTGATGCTACAACCACTACAAAAAAATGGCACACACTTGGCATAGACTTTACACGGACTTCGCACAGATCTTTGTCAAAATTGTTGATGCTACAACCACTTCATCAAATTCATAGGGTATTTTTTTTTTGAAAGGAATTCATATTGTATTTTGAAATCCAAAAAATGGTCATATTCTTTAACTTTACATATGTTCATGTTTTGTTTCTATGGTGGATAATTTACTAATAATAATTAACTCATTTAGACTAGGGCTGGGAAAAATATCCCGACTCCCGACTCCCGATCCCGATCCCGACAATCCCGATCCCGAAAATCCCGATCCCGACAATCCCGATCCCGACTAGTCGGGAATTTTTCCCGATCCCGACTAAGTCGGGACGGGACCGGGATTTTTTTTTTTAAAAAGTCGGGATCGGGAAAATCCCGACATCCCGACATATATATATATATATATATATATATATATATATATATATATATATATATATATATATATATATATATATATATATATATATATATATATATATATATATATATACACGTGTATATAATTATATATGAATATATAAAAAATGAATATGTATCTAAATATTTGCACATCTTTTTTAATTACTTATTCCTTACATAGATTAATCTTTTACTACGAGTATCTTACAATATCAAACTTCTAAAACTATTCGGTATTTGTCCGAAAATGAATATTCGGGATCCTAACTAAGTAGAGATTATTCTTGATCCCAACAATCTAAATCACAACATACAATATTACAAATTTTGCGGTTCTGATGAACTCTTTAAAAAATTATGATCGAGACTAAGATTTCTTTCTTTAGTAGATAATCATAATATGTATTTACACATTATATTCATTGGTCACAAAGTTTCTCAATGAGTCTACTTAGTTTTGAATTTTAAATAATATACATTACATATCCTTCTTTTAGTGTTTTTTATATATTATTTGAAGTAAGTTTCACTAAGCCTTGATAGCTTATTCAAAAATTATACTATTAATTAATTGAAGTTACACATAAAAATTATTCTAAAAGTATATACTAGTGTGAGTTTGAGATGATAATTATTACAATAATTATTATAAGTAGATGATGATAAATATGGTATAACAGTAAACAAAGAATAATATTGAAACCACTAAATATCAAAGTTAGTGTTTAACTAAAGAAATTACATAATTTTATGTTTGATACTTCATTGTCGGGATTTAGCGGGATTAAGCGGGATTCCCGATCGGGATCCCGACTTAATCGGGATTTTAATGTCGGGATCCCGACTTAATCGGGACGAGATACGGGATCCTCTTTTAGTTTGAATCGGGATCGGGACGGGATCGGGATTTGGGCAATCGGGATCGGGATCATCCCGATCCCACCCCTAATTTAGACACTCTACATTCAATAAACAAGCACTAAGCACCCCATAATTTCACGTGGTTGATGTGATTTAGGTCTTATGTGCTTCCTTGTACTTTATTTGCCCCTTTATAAAAATAACAATTTTGCCCTAAACAATTTTGCACAAAAAAGGTTTCACAGATAGTATGTACAAGTGTGTAAACAGGTACAACAAGAATAAAAAAAAATAACAGGTACAACAAGATTTTTTGGATTTATTATGGACGGAAATATATACCAGTAACATACTTTCATAATTTAAATGTGCTTGAACGATTAAAGTTTGTAACGGAAAAAAACTTACATTATGCAAAACATGATTGAATGTATGTTCAATATTCGCTACACAATGTGATATTATGAATATAATTGAATTCTAGTATTATTATAGTTGTCAGATTCTGGTAGATATAGTAATAGTCTTAATATTTATTGTTTTCTAAAAATGTTTAATCTCTTTATGTTTAGTTTGATATGATATGTTTAAGTCTAGTAAAGCCACTAACATTGGCCCGCAGCCACCACGGCCATTATCGGTGGCGTACAATTTTCAGGACAAACACAAACTGTGACTTCACCTGTTGGTGTCATGCGAAGCCAGCCGAGCTCATCTTATGTTTATCCTTCTCGCCTCTTTGGCCATGCATCATCGCTATTCCAAATCCAGTACATGGCTGCCGCAAGTCCTCCGCTGTTGTCGCCTGACCTATCCGCAACTGCAGTTCTTCAGCGAGCCGCACAAGTAGGCTCAACCATAACTTACTCTTCCTCTTCCGGTGGTGATGGTAGTGGTGGTTCATATATTCGTGGATTGGCTGGTCGTTCACTAAACGCTGAGAATGAAGCGATTATTGTTCCACCAAGTGGTTTCCAGGAGTATCCCCAGATGGACCAGTCATCTCCTGCAATGATCTTTGGTGGCAACTGCCCGTCCACTCTGGATTTTCTCGGCTTGGAAAGCGGTGGCTATGGCAATGCGAGCACTTCCCGTCGCTGGTAGATCAGGCAGATGGGTTTGGATAATCTCATGTCATGGCCCTTGTTTTCTCCCTGTTTCAAACTTTCTTTAAGGTTGGACATGCAACAGTAACTTTTGGACTACCTTTAGTTGGTTTAAGTAATTTAGTTATGCGGTTGATGCAGACATTGTGTTGTCGTTGCTGTGTTTTCATTAGCTTCGTTGTTTTCTTGCACATGACTTGGAGATTTCCAAATGCAAGTATCCTGGTTTTCCTGTTTTTTGGATCAAGAAAAATCCTAAATACGTTTTGTTGAGTAAAAAAATGATTATATGTAGGCAAGGGCAGGACACAATTAAAAGTCATAAACTCTAGTTTTATTTATTGGTTTAACTAAACTTATCAACTTCAATTTGTTTGTCAGCTTTACTTGAAATCAAAAACGAATATGCAATTTGTTTGTCATCTACAATTTAGTAAACTCTAGTTTTATTTATTGGTTTAACTAAACTTTTGCAAACAAGAGTCATATTTTTGAGCTCATTTGGTAACCATGTTTTTCAACTTGTGATTTTTATTAGCCAACTTTTTCATCAAACACGTAACTTTTGATTTCGCGTTGAGTTGTGTAATAATCAAAATAAGTAAGGTTAACGTTATTTTTTGGCTAGATTAGCTAAAGTTTTTATAGAAGACCATTTTAGCTATTTTCATATGATTTTTTCTTTATTTTAATAATAGAATATGTTTTAAGCCAAAAAGATTCATAATTCGGCAGAATTAGCTAATGTAGTCACTTTAACCAGAAATTTATAAATTTCAACAGAATGAGCCAATTCCAATGCAGGAAAACCGTCCACACGGGTTGTTTCTGCGTGTAAACTTGGTTAAAAGGTGGTGTTCATATACTTATTTGACACTAAGGGACAAAACTAGTTTTGTTTGATGAAAAAGTGAGGAGTATCCTCGATTCTGAATCGGAACTGCCGATTGGCAGTTTCAAATTTTGAGGAACCAGAACTGGAACCGCACATTACCGGTTCCAAAACAAGCGTTTTTAGATCCAATCCATCTGGTTCGGTTTTCCAGTTCCTAATTTTTTATTTTTTAGGATGTCAAATTTTAGTTGATTTTTTAAAAATAAATTAACTGAAGGGTTCCCAAAAGAATTAGAAGAACTAAATCATTTTTATAACCAAGTACAATAATAATATATGTAGTAGTTAATAGCTAAGTAGTTATAAATTGCATTGTAAAAATCTACAAGCTAGTATATTATTAAAAAAATTGCATTAAAATAATTTAGTTATTATTTAACTACATATACATATTACCAATAATTTAAAAAAAATAAACTGAAGTAATCACAAATGAGTGGTAACAAGTAACTAGTATCATTCTCATTTCTATTATTAGTACAATTAGTATTATTACTACAACTTTTGAACAACCAAACCGGACTAGCAAACCTCCTCTTCTAAATCACAAAAATGGAGTGGTTCGGGTTCCAGTTCAAAAACCGGTGGTTCCAATTTAGCCGGAAACCACACAGACAGGTCTAAAAACTGGCTTCCTTTTTTACCAAAAATGTTTTGAAACATGGCTCTCTTTTTTTTGGTACAAATGCAGTCAAATTTTAGGATTAAATTCATGTTTCATATTTCAAAATTAAAAGATGACTGATAGAGCTATATATAGCACTACAGGTTCTACTTTTATTTTCCAGTGGTATTAAGAAGAAAGTGCAAATTAGTTATACATAAGGAATGAATAAATACCTATTTATAATGAACAGTCACAACAAAAGAAGATTCTTATCTTAACGTAGTATATATTAAAAGCATTACAATGTTTCCAAAATTAAAACATGCGTAAACACTAACCCTTTTATTGCCAGCTTTTCCCCAGTTCATTACCTTGTTGATCAACAAGAACACCTTAAATCCTTGAGCACTGATGTTGGCGGCTACATTAACTCATAAACCAAAAAGATAATCTCTAAAACATTGTGAACATCGTTGGTTATCACTTAGCAGCAATTTGTATTCAATAACTGAATCTTATATTTATGTACAGTCCCGCTAAACACAGCTTCTTAATTATAGAAACTATCATGTTTCTTCATTAGCTTTGTTAGTCATAGTACATGGGTCTCTGGCAGTCTGGCTAAATAAGCGCTTGTTGTCTTTACTATATAGAGTAGGACTGCGTGTTCTTGTTGGATATTTACATAACGTGCAACATGTAATATGGAGAGTGAATATAGGTGTGTTCACGTTAATTCAAACATATGAAAATAACTTCCATTAACATTTGTTTTCATTTCTCTACCATTTTCCCTGGTCCAAAATCCAAATACACCCTAACAGAACCACAACAAACCTGGTGAAGGTAGATGACATTCTTCTATTCAGGACTCCAGGAAAATAGTGCTCTCTTGTTTATACTCTTATAGTCTTATATATATGATGATGTCATCAAGTTGTGACCGAAACTGGCGCTGACAACCCATCAATTTTCATCATGCAATGATATTTGGATGGGGCAATGGCCCCTGCCTTGGTGCATAGATCTACAACGGCAGGGGCATGGCCATAGTAGTTTCGACCCTCATCAAGTAGCAATGGAGGATCTTGAGGCCGTCTGAACCAGACTACATTCTGAGGAACCAAATCGTCCACACCTGCCTTCTCCCAAAAATGCCCTCGCCGCCAACTTTCATACTTAAATACCCCACAAAGCCGAGCCTTATGTCCGGAGGGTCCCACGTGAACTTCCGAACAGTGTTTGCACACCTTCGTGGGATAAACCAACAGAAGCTTAACTACACCGGACCTGACCCTTTCCCAGGCTTTTAAAGTCTCTATCCCTATCGACATCATTTCCTGATCAAATGAAGGTTCAGTTATCAAATCGCTTTCCAGTTCCCTCTCTCTTGTGATTGTGCTTTTGTCACCTAGATTAGCACCGGCTTGTAAGCACAATTCCACAACGGCAGGAATCCGGTCGTGATCAAATCTTTCATGGTGTTTGATGATGTTCTGAAACATGTTCTGCAGATGATATGTTTGTACGGGGAGTAGGATGTTCTCTAAAGTTCCTTTGATCCAAACATGAAGCTGGGTCTTTGACCCCCTCCTATATCCACCACATGTTCGAATTAAATGACCGCTTTCTCCTACATACACCTCTGGACAGTACCTGCAGTGAAACAAATTCAATCACACCATAAATAAGAGTCTGTCTGTTCCCGGGATATACTTAAGAGATTAAAAAGTAAGAAAAACATAGAGCAAAATGGGAAGGAAAGAAAAAGTGTGTTGAAATAAAACATCAGTTACAACTCAATAGACTTATTTTAGATATTTGTTGACACTCAGTTTACTTTTTTGCATCTATTATATAACGACTACAAGATCAGAATATATGTAAACATGAATAAACTGTTCAACAAATTATCACATTTCATTTTCATAACTTTTCCAGATGAAAAGAAAACATAAAACAATGACTATCCTTGGAAATTCTTTTTTTCCTTTCTGTAGCAATTTTGGTCTTCTTTTCCGTCATTTGCAATAGAGCCAAAGATTCATTATTTTTTGGCTTGAGAATATGATGGAATAAAGCAAAATGGCTCACCAAACTGTCTGCGCTTCTTTGTTATGAAGCAGCAGTCAGTCAATGCAATTTTTGGACGCGATTTTCATTATGGGTCATACGGAAACAGTCTCTTGTACAGGGGTAAGACTGCGTACATCCGACCCCCCCCCCTTACCCCACCATAGGTGGGAGCCTTTGCGGCACTAGGGTAAATGATGATTGATTGATTGTAGCAATTTTGGTCTTCATTCATTAAATTGCCAGAGTTTATACTTTTGAAGCATTTTCAAGTCATGATATTGCTCTCTCCTTGCAGCACAATCTTTTTCTTGAATGACAACTTCTTGTTTTCATGTTGTTCCCTTCACTAAGATGAAATGGAACATTTCATGTACTCCAGGTCTCCAGTAGTTCAGCTAGAGGAAAATGCACTGAGAAAACAGTAGCAGTCATACTCTCTGATTCTAAGAAAGATAAAGAAATTATGTTCTCTGCATTATTCAGTTACTTCATACTTCATACACCACTACCAGGCTTTTTCATGTCACAAGCTTATTATTTGAATCACTCATTACCCTAAGGGGTGTTTGGTTTAAGTAAACGGAGACTACTCGGGTAACGCGTGGAAACTGGGAAAGTAATGTGGAGTGTGGATTTCATACTTGGATTCAGGTTTTCATATTCCAAGGGTAAATTTAGATTTAGCTTAATCTGCTCACCTTGAGGCTTTATAGTCTTCGTTTTATTGATTTTAATACTCTGCTTTTTCCTTGAACTAGATATTGCTACATTAGCTTTAGAGTTCTCTCAATAACAATTAAACATCATTAAGTCTGACATTCACTTGATCGATTCCCTGGTAAGTTCCTATTCCCTAAGTTAATCTTGGGTTTTATCCAACCACTCTCTAAACCAAAGAAGTTTTCCTTAAGTCTGACATTCACTTGATCGATTCACTGGTAAGTTCCTATTCCCTAAGTCTGACTATTGGCTGACATATTGGTAATTTTTTGGGATTGAGCATAAAATACCAACTCCTAACTTCAGAAGTGTTGCTCATCCAAGCTTCAATAAAAACCTGTAATGCCTGCATCTTTGAGGGGTGCATTTCCGCGTTTCAAAAACTTTTAGGAAACCTTTATTACAAATGTTTTCCCGTTGGCCATTATGGTTTCAAGTTCCCCGTGCCATTGAGATCAAAATTCTCAATTACTTTTTTAGTTGAGAGAAAAAATATTGAAATTCTCCAAGCATATGCACAAAAAATCATAGGAAGCTGTAAGAGAAAAAGAGATGCGTGAATTACTTGCACGCCCACACCGAGATATGTTGGAGGAGGGTGGATACTCCACGGTAGAGCAGAGCTCTGGACTTGAGGACCTCCTCCGCCACAGGGATCATTCCTTTCACCGGATAATCCTTCGCTCTGTTCTCAATCCTCTTAAGAATCATCGGCCTAAGCTTCCTCAAGTCTACCACCTTAGGGTTCGTTCTGTAGAACCGAAACACATTCAACACAGTTCCCAACATAATTTCATTGCGTCTCCATAGCTCGAGGCTTCTCCAAGCCATTCCGACAGTTGCAACTGATTATCGTCGGATCAGCAGGCATCGCCGTCTAGATGACGGTGGTGCTGGGAGAAGAAGCTGTCCCGGTGAGGAGGAAATGTCGGCTTGACTGATTAAAACACCCCAACAGCCCAACCAGATTGTTATCGTGGGCTTTCCTTTGATCACTACATGATCCGTTAAAACAACTTCCCGGTTGGACTTTCACACATTTTTAGGAAATAAATTTGACTTTACTGTAGAGTGCACTATTTAGCACTGTTTAAACACTGTTTGGCACTGTTTAAACACTATTTGGCACTGTTTATCACTTTTTTTATGTAGATAATTTGCTAAATAAGGAAAATATTGAAGTGTGAAGTTAATTTTGGGACATCCATTTAAGGAAAGTGGGAAGTTGTTTTTGGGACGGAGGGAGTACTAGTATTATACAATGAATAATTATAACATAAGGAAGTTTGAGAGGTTTCACATGGGATTAATACACTGAATTTATATTTCATGAGAGGTTTGGTGCATTAAACCTCATTTCGTACAACATAAAACTTATTTCAACAACTTATACTCCCTTTGTCCCATAAAAAAATTCATGACTTGACTCCCACACATTTTTATGCCAAAATGAAAATGTTGTTGATTTCCCTAAACTATCCCCCACCCCACACCCCCCACCGTATTTAATGTTGTGCCATGTGCCCGCCTCCACGTCACAGGGGTGCTCTTCGCCATAGACTAGTTTACATGTGTACGTGTACTTAATGCACTTAGCATTTATGACTAGTATAAATAGCATCCCCTTGGTCACTTGTGACGGCTCAAATATTCATTAATACGATTGCTCTCTCTCCTACTCAATAGCTCTGTCTTCTCTCTACATACCGTTAGTGATATCCCCGTATTAGCTATCTATCAGCATTTGAATGTCATCAAGTCATTACTTACTCATGTAGGAAAAGTGAAAAGGTTATAAGTATGCCTATCTCATATTGTGTCTAGGCATGTGCTAGAAAAGTCCACATTTCATCTTTTGTTAACACATTCACATAGATGAAAAGTGGTTTTCTTTTTGTCAAAAGAAACCACAACATACTACATCCATCCCAGTGAGGTAGCATAAACTCATTTTATAAATTATACAAGTAATATAAATTAAAATTCATTTAACTATACTTACTATAATATGTTCATTTAAAATCTTGTTGTGCTCATCTAACAATATCATGTCAATGTTGATTTCTTTTGTACGTCATACTCATACATGTATAACATAGAACGTATTTCTATAAAATGCGTATGTCAATATGTATAAGGTAAAACTTATTTTAGAACCCACACTTGTGATATATTTACTCCAAACTAATTAAATATAATTAGCTACATTTAATTAATTATCAGTAGATTTATCCATGATAAATGTAACAAACGCATACAATAAGAGATACCTTATAATTTATTATTCTATACTTTCAACTTTATTTTGCTAATTTCATAATGTAACATCAATGCACATTTATTTTAAACATTATATTTATTTTAGTATAACACAAAATGCATTTCAAATTTTAAATAATCTACACGTAATAGTGCTCATTTTAAAACACTTATCCAATGAAAATTCACTGTAAATATTATACTCATTTGGGTATAACATAAAACTCATTTCAACAATTCATGGATGCAAATATGCTCTTTTAAATCTATGTTATGCTCATTGATAGTATCATGTCAATGCACAACTCCATTAAACCCAATACTCATTTCACTATAACGTAAAACTCATACATGTAATATATTCATTATAAACGAACTTATTCATTATTGTATGTTCACCTAAAGTACGTATTTATTGTGCTTGTTTTATAATATATAATAGTAATGCTCATTTATCATTTATTTTAAATGTTATGCTCATTTATGTATAGCATAAAATTCACTTATATAATCCACACATGTAACATATTTATTGTACACTAATCCACATTTATTTATATCATTTTACTCATTTTAGTATAACAAAAACTCAATTCAATAGCCTACATATATAATACTACCTCCGATTTTTTTTAATCTTCACAGTTTGACTTCACACAAAATAAGGAAAGAAATTTGACTTTACTGTAGAGTACACTGTTGAGGCACTGTTTGACACTGTTTGGCACTGTAGAGACACTGTTTGGCACTGTTGAGACACTGTTTGGCACTGTTTGGCACTGTTTTGATGTAGATTTCTTTGCCAAAAAAGAAAATAAGGAAGTGTGAAGTTTATTTTAGACCGTCCCAAAAAGGAAAGTGTGAAGTTTATTAAAAACCGGAGGGAGTACTTGTTTTAAAATGCTATATCATGCAAATTCATTGTAAATATTATACTCATTAATTGGAATATAACATACACTGATTTCAGGAATTCATAAATATAATATGTATTCTTTGAATGAAACTTTAATATAATAATATTTATTTACTCAAATATAATCCCTTTTTTCAATGACAAATATTAAGAAAGATAATTTATAGTTATATCAATTCAATTGTGTTTATTTTATAATATTACAATTTCTTTTAAACAATATGCTCATAATTTGTGCGTACACATTTGAATGTTTTAATTCAATTCTCATTTAGGATGTTTTTACTTGTACTGAAATTTTCTAATATGATATGATCTGATCTGTTTAAGTCTGGTCTGGTTTGCAATAGTTTGATAGGTGTTTAGTCTCTGTGTATTTTACAACTGTCGAAGTATGGTGTAATCTCTTAACGTCTGGTTTGATCTTATCTGGTATAGTCTAGTATAAGATTGAAATAAGCCCAATTAAAAATTCTAACATCCTTACATTGGTGTCATATCAATGCTCATTTCTTTTAAACCTTATATATATTCATTTAAAACTCATTTCTTTAAATGATACACACACACACACATATATATATATATATATATTCATTAGAAACCAACTTATTCATTTAAATGATACAAATATGTATTCGTTACAGACCAACTTATTCATTTAAATATATTCATTGGTGTGTGCTCATCTAAAATCTGTGTTGTTCTCATTTTACAATATCATACCTATTATGCCCATTTCTTCTATAAATAATACTCATTTAAGTACGTATAGCATAAAACTCATTTCAATACACATGGGTGGAGACCGGGAGGGTTGAAGGAGGCCACGACCCCTGCAAGAAAAAAAATTCTTAAGTGTGTTTGTGTGTGTGTGTGTATTATGCATAAATATGTTTAATCTATAGAAAATATGTTGATATTTTAAACTTTGGCCCCTGGAATGTAAAACATTTAAGGACCGACCCCTACAACTATAGACTTTTAGTTCCGCCACTGTCAATACACACGTAATCAACACATCACAATTATAATTAATAAACATATCTATGCACTCTGATTTATTATAGAAAAATTTGTTAGAAAAACGTACATATCTCAACTACAGAGTATTATACAAAATCTTTAAACATCAAACTCAAAGAATACCCGAAAGACATATAAAATTTGTTTAAATTGTAGAATAGAAAAAAACTAGAAAAATTTATTCTAAACAAAAACTGCTATGCAAAACAAATAATACATATATTAATTTTTTTACAAATAGAGCAAGCGATAAACTATTTCGTCAAGAAAAGATATAATATTCACTTTGACATTTTTGACCACTTAATAGACATTCAATATTTATGAGTGATTTCGAGATAAAACTGATGTACATATTGCGGCCATATTTGGTGTTTCTCGCAAATTGCTTGTCGCAAAAAAAAACATTTTTCTTGTATTGCATATTATTAATCAACAAAAGAGGGACAGGAATATTTTTAATCATGTTGTTGTCTAATTTGATACTCCGTATTCTTTTAGAGAGTCATGATAGCAAATTTTAATTATAAATTTAAAGTTGTGGATATAAAAGAAAAGGGAAAGAATGAGAAAGACAGAGTGGAAGCAATAGTGCAAAACAAGGCATGAGTGCAAAAAAAAACGTTGATCGTAAATTATACCATGCAGCCGGCATTTTTGTAACTAAATCGGCGCTCTGCAACTCATCGATGAAGGGAAAGACGGGTGGATCCTGAAGAAGACAGTCAAGATCCGCGCTCTGCAATTCATCAACGCTCCTGAAGAAGACGACCAAGATCCGCGCTCTGCAATTCATCGATGCCATTTGAGTTCCAGTAGGATGGAAGAAGCAGGGACTTTGATGCGTAAGCTTTCCTTGGTGACGGATGATCTGAGGTGCCGTCGTCACTTGCAGGAGTAACTTGTGAGCTCACTAATGAACAGGGGAAGTACTCGTTTGGACAAATGAAATAGAAAGCTACCCTACTCGTTTTGGACAAATATAATTCTAGTTGAACCAATTTGAAATGAGTATAATGTGTAAAAGAAATGAACAAACACAAATAAATATTAAATACATTAGAAATGAGTTTTATATTAAACTCAAATGAGTATACGCCTAAAAAAATGAACTCACCCAAATTAATATTGAACACATTGGAAATGAGTTTTATGTTAAACTCAAATGAGTTTATATTAAACTCAAATGAGTATAAGCTTAAAAGGAATGCACATACACAAATGAATATTGAGCATGTTAAAAATGAGTTTTATGTCAAACTAAAATGAGTTAAAACCCAAACTAAATGAGCATACACAATTGAGCTTTTGAATTTTTTGATACTCATTTAATTTTGTAAGTTATGTATGCTCATTTGGTACTTCTTTATACTCATTTTGAAATGTTTCACATTTCAAACGTATCATACTACATTTTATTAAACTCAAATGAGTATAAAGTCCAAAATGAATGAGCATACACAAATGAGCTTTTGAATTTTTTTATACTCATTTCAAAAGTTATATATGCTTATTTGGTATCTTTTTATGCTCATTTTAAAATGTTGTACATTTCAAACATATCACACTACATTAGATTTTACATATTGAAATTAATTGGAATTGAATACAGACGTTTGATACTCGTTTTGTAAGTTATGTATGCTCATTTGGTACTGTTTTATGTTCATTTTTAAATCTTTCACATTTCAAACATATAATTCTACATTAGATTCACATATTGAAATTAATTGAAATTGAATATAAACATAATTTAAGAAATTTTTATAAACG